GGGGGGGGGGGGGTCAATGACTTGAGCCGCACCTTGATACCTCTGAGGACACTATTTTTCCGCGGGGCGTTGTTTTTCTACTTAGCTGATTTTTCATGGACACGGTTTCTTATGCTTCAGAAAAAAGAATAATAATTCTTGTCTAACACTTCCTACTCCCTCCCAATGAGCGGCCCTCGTAAATGTTCGGTAAAACAAATTTTAATGTCGCAAAGAAAGGCTTCGCGTACTCCAGATTTCGAGTGCAGCAGATTTATTTTATTTTTTTATCGAAAGTGCAATGTTTAAGAATTTTTTTGGCGGAGAGTTTGGTTTGATACGGCAATTCCATTGGGCGTGGGAATTTTTTGAAAAGAGCATGAAAAAAATGTTTCAACCTCTGCCAATCACTGAAAAATTGTCCGATTTACATTCGGTTTGGACAGGGTAGCTTGTTTTTTTGCGTAAAATTGATTTCTGAAATAAAAAAGTAGGGGTGCCATTTGAAAAGTTCGACTTACGGGTGGGGCACCCCCCGCCCCGCGCCCCTCCCGCGGTTTGGGAAAATGTCAAATACGCCAAAAGGTGTCCCCCTCGATATTAACGAACACGTCTTTTACCGTTTTTCGAAATTCCGACGCGTTCGGAAGATATTCAAGGTGGCTCGTTTTTCGTGAGACACCCTGTATAGTTTGTTAATTTTTACGTAAATTTGACGTTTTCTTTTTATTAAAATAACACTTTTTTTATTTAAACTAATTCCCAAAAAGGGTTTCCTACAACGGAGTATTTTAAGAGTTGTTTTACCCTGGTAAAAATTGGCAGTAGAATCTGTGTTCCAAAATACCATAGACCTACAGCCGGCTGTAAGATTTCCAATAGCTTCTATAGCCGGCTACACAATTTCTTAAAGCCTTTTATAGCCGATGGCGACTAAGCAACAGCCTGGCGATAAAGTGTATGCTGAACGTTACTAATTACGGATGCTAGGACTTAGTGAGTTCTTGGACTACCGCTCTCTTTTTGGGTCGTAGTATCTTGATTTATTTTGCGAGGGAAGCTCCGTACTTTTGAAGGATGCCTGCCATTCCTAACATATTGGAGCGCCTGCAATTTTGTAAGATACTGTGCAATACCTCTGGTGTGAAATAGTTGCTTCAAGCGCCGTGTACTCTGCGGCGCGGCGCGGCGCGGCGGGCGGGCAGCCAGCGCGAAACGCGCATTGGCGCCTTCAAACCTAACAGGGATACTTCACGCATTGCGCAATGCGTGAAGTATCCCGGTTAGGTTTGAAGGCGCCAGTGCGCCGCCGCTCCGCTTTGTGTTAGGCTCTAATATTTAATCTCGTGGAGTCAACGTTTTTCAACTCATGACTTTGAAATGTTTGCACACTCTGTATGGATTATTCTCATTTTAATTGATGAAAAAAAAAAATATGTAGTAAAGGAAAATATAATTTGCGTAAAAATTAAGGTGATTCCGTACAAACTTAAGGATTTACAAAGCACACGAATTTCTACACAATTTCTATTGCCTTTTATAGCCGATGACGAAAAAGCAACAGGCAGGCGATAAAGTGTAAAGCCCGGCTGTATAATTTTTTATCGCTTCGTGTAGCCCGGCCGTATAATTTTTTCCACTTTCTACAGCCAGCTGTATGATTTTCTATCACCTTCTTCAGTCGGCTATAAGAACTCCTATGGTATTTTGAAACGCAACTCCCATCGCCAATTTTTGCCAGGATACTTAAAATTTACGAACTCTTAAAATTAACAAGTTTTTCACATTTTTTTGACATCTTTTTGTAGAATTTTTTTTAAGAGCCATTGCTACCAGGGCAGGTTTAAGCACGTGGGCACCTAAGTATACTTTTGCCGCTCCTAAGTATTTCGAAACGCGGGAAAGGAAGTAACTCTCCCGTTCGAGAGTTGGTGCTAAAACTACAATGATGGTGAGAGGACTGTTTTGATCTCAGTGGCCATGGCAACCTGGAGGATGGACACCAAACGAACCGCCTAATGAGTAGTTTAGCATGCCTGATCCATTCCGAATTCATGCTTTTCTTTCGTATTAGTGGTTGGAGATCGCTCCGATGTCGAACGGAAGTCTTGAATGTGACGTGCGGATCGACCGCGGATCGAAATTGGGACTGCGCCGAGCATTTTCATCATTTTAATAAATCGTCTCACGAAAAATTCGTGTATTAAGCACACGAAATTTAACGGCAACGACCTGGTTACGGCAGACACTTGATGAGACTGTGTAGGTAGTGCTTTCAAATCGTTTGTCCCCGACGAGAGATGTTCGATCACTCTTTGCCGCTGTTGTTCTTGAATCTCGGGGGTGAGATGATGTATATTATCGACCAGCGCCTCAAGGCTCAAGAGGTTGACGTGGAGAAAGCCAAAACAGGTAAGGCTTCTAATTATTGTAGGTGCAACCCAAGCAGGACCCGTTGCAATCAATCCATGACAAAATGCGTGGGTGTCTCAACTGCAACGTTTAACAATCGCAGATTATAATTTTACTTGCCTCGCAGAAAGCCAATTCGAATTCTTCCTTGTTATTTCGTGTGACTTTCGTAGAATGACTGAAGAAAATTCATGAAAAATGTCATCACCCAAGTAGCACAAATTGATTGCAATTCCATGGTAAAATTATTGCCTTTTCATCGGAGTACCAATCGGAGGAACTTTCCTATTGAAATTTATTGCTATAAAATTAAATCAAGTTTTACAGTGCCGGACTTACCTACTTACCGCACCCTTCTCATTCGTTTTGAAACATCAATAAGAACCATCAAATGGACGTGCCTCCCCCCTCCCCCCCCCCGGGTGCAAAAAACGCGCTTACTCGTGTTGGGCACATTTTTTTGTGAAAGCCCTGTCGACACTCCAATAAGTTCCCGGAACTTCGCGAAAGTTAAGTTCGTCGTAAGTAAACCCATCTCTGCGTGAACAAGAAAATGACATGTTTCTTAATTATTAATACCTATGATATATTTCTCACATAACGATATATTTCTTCCATTGATAAGAAACAAACGAAACAATTGTGAAAGAACAAGCATGTATAAATGTGGTCTAATAATTTTAGTTTCCGCCGCCGCGCCGACTGCACTGTGTTTGGCGCAATGCGTGAAGTATCCCTCCTGTCTTGTAGGCGCTATGCGTTTCACGCCGACCACTGACTGACTGCGCTGTGTTTGATGCAATGCGTAAAGTATTTATGCAGTCTTGTAGGCGTCATGCGTTTCACGCCGACCACTGACTGACTGCGCTGTGTTTGATGCAATGCGTAAAGTATTAGTGCAGTCTTGTGGGCGCTTTGAGTTTCATGCCGACCGCCGCGCCGCGGGCTTCTCCTGTTCATCCTAAGTCCTCGTCATTATTGCTCTCTGCACCCATGAAGAAAAAAAATATTTTTAGATTAGTGTCAAACCCTGCTCAATTCAAGGCGTCGAATCAATTGCGCATGGTCCCGAGAAACGGTGAACAACGAGTGTTTTTGACCGTTTGGTGAAAGTTCACCAAACGCGCGTCTTTTGACCATTTTTTCGGTTCAGGAAACGTTACTGAGCCTCGGAGTCATGCGCAATCGATTCTACGCTTTAGATTACGTCAGATTAGACACTTTAATCTCGATTTTTTTGCTCGTTCAAAATCGAGAGAAATCGACAAGGATTACCTAACATCTGGGATCAAAATTCAAAGTTCTCGGATCGGGCTGAAAGGAAGCTAGCCTTCTTGGAAATGAGGCGCTGAGTCCAATTTTCTGCTCCACGAGTCCTCTGGCTTGCATGATATGCGAAATAGGGATTTGGGTTTTTCGAAGACGGTTAGGTACCTAAATGACACTCGTTACTTACTCGGTTAAGGAAGGCGCGAGGCTCCTCAAATAACAGCTACTGACTTAAGACCATTAATTTGATCAAATTTGGATTTATTATGTTCTTCTTCCGTTCGGTTTTAGTGCTTAACGACATCGGGAAGATAATGCTGAATCAAAGATGTTTGGATGAGTTGTTCAAGCCGCAGGAGGTGTACAATCGTCAAGCCTTGAAAACTCTATTCCATGACCTGGCTCACGCCTCCATAATGCGGCTCAACGAAATCAGTATGGATAAACTTTTCGATTTGATGATCATGGTGTTCAAGTACCAGCTCGTCCAGTGCTCCAAGCCGCAAGATCTTCTCCTCATTACTCTTAATCACCTTGACTCTATTCGTTACCTTCTTACCACACCATTCTGTCACAAACAGCTTGATGTTACCTATTTCATGTTGATCAAGGTGAGCTCCCAGAATAGTTTGTGATAAAACATTTTATTTCCTAATCGATGATAGGCACTTATCCTACATTTCATGTTGAAATAGGGGTGCACAGGCTTCAAGTTCACCAGTAAATTCATAATTGAATGCATGAACTGAATTAATGCAATGTACCTGAGTAGGTAATATAAATAAATAGAATAAATTATGATTCATAGATAATAAATCATCACACGAGAGGATTTTATCCATCCGCAAAGAAAGTCTTAATAATAATTAAGGAAAATTTTCGGTCATCGATTTCGTATTAATCGTATTTAGTAATTTTTTCTTTTTTGGGGGGGGGGGGCTTATAAATTTGCTGAAAATGGCTTTGAAAAACCCTCATCCTTCCTGAATACTCATCAAATTGAAAATTGCGGTGTATGAAAGTCGCTAAAATATCATAAAAAATAGAGTAGGTACCTAGCTAGGAGCAGAAGGTCCAGGCACTTGAAAAAAAAGGAGAAGAATTCAAAACATGAACAGCGACATCGGCTCTTTTGCTATTTAGAAATGATTCCTTTCATTTTATATATCTAACAAAGTATCGTGTGTGAAAATACTTAAGTAATATTGATTTCATAAAGAAAGAAAAAAGAAAGTGAGTGACATTGAATCAAAATGAGCGCTCTCAGTGACAAAAAATCGGTCGGATGTTTTAAATGCAACGTTTGAAGGAATTAGAATAAATTTCAATGATTAGGTACCTAGCACCAGGCCAAATGAAATAGGTAGTTGGGTCAACTTTGGAGTCTCATTATTTAACCGAAACCAGTTGGCATCTTTATTTTGCTCTATCCTCTGCATTATTGAATTGTTCCTCCTTGAAGTTTATTGTATTATTTTTTTTCTCGCTGACATCCGCAGACTTACAGTCAGGTCACAAGTGGGGATTTGCAAAACATACGGTTCCATCTACTCAGCTTCTTCCAGGACATTCGAATACGGGTCTCTCTTTTCCTTCGCCAGGGTCTGCAAAATAACGATGGTGGTTTCATCATATCAACTAATTACACCTTGCCCTATGGTAAGACTCTCAAGTTATAATGATGAAGTAAAACATAGGTATTGCCCATTCCAGCTATCATCTCCACTTTTATTTTTGTAATTCCTTATCCCTTGCATGCAGCAAAAGAGGAAAAGTAATCTGAAACTGGCTTCAGAGCCAGTTGACAAAAAAATCATGAAAAATCATGTCATTAGTGACATGATTTTGTATTCCTTTCAATTGGACGTTTGAAAGGTGTGGCTGTTATTCAGAAAAAATCTCCTAGCCTCTTATGAACCACCATAACAGCAGCGAAAAGAAAACTTAGATATATCTGAGTAGGTATGAATACATTCATGACTTGTTTACTTCTTGCTATAAAATGATGATTGATAACTATGTAAGTAAAATCAAACTCAATAAAAATAAGTACAGTTTGAGGGAAAACTCATTTCTTTGAACGTAAGCGAGGAAAAATTTAAGCCTGAGGGAGAAAATTCCAGTGCTGTCATACTAAAGCACCTAGAAAAATGATTTAGAGTTAGGAATGTACCTAAAGAAAATGAAATGTACAAAACTGAAAGAAATTAACGACAACATTATCGAAATTACTGAAAAAATAAGGGTACAAACTGAGCTAGATGAATAAGAAAGAAAAGAGAATCAGATATTTAAAAGATTCCAACTCACAAAAGGAATTAAATTAAATTCTAGCACATTGCAAAGTTGGAATTTCGACCTTGAAGAAGGGACCGCAGGATCCCGAAAAGCATTGGCATTTACTTTGATTTATTTTGTGAGTTTGAGTTCTTCATTTCCTGACTATATTTTTTCTTTCTTGAAGTGGTACATCGTATGCCTGTCATATGAAAAGAGTAAAGGCTAGGAACCTAATGGAGTTCTTGAATTCATTACTTCCAGAGTATGAGGTGCCAGGCAGCATTAGACTTTACAATTCTGAAGGTTGCATCTGTGATCTTCTTAACTTCTCACCTGGGGGTAAATATACTCAAGCTCCAGAACCAAGCTCCTTAGAATTGAGGGGGAAAAGGTGCACTACCTTAGGCACCAATGTGTAAGTATAAACGCAAACACAGTAAACGTAAGGATGAAAGCATCAGTGTGAATGACAGCTCATATTTCCTTTATAGCGCAAGAAGAGTGAATCCAAAATCATATACTTCCCTATTTAAAACTAAGGAACTTGTCTTCAATTATTATTGATGAGGCGATAAATGTGAGAAATGTAGTTCAGCATCTTTTGAAACATATAATAAGAGCAGGAATTTTGGCCAACTGTAATGGGAGTTTTAGAATCAAACAGATCCAACTGGAATCACAAAACTGCATTTCATGGTGCTTAATTCTCTCTCATATTTTGATTTTTTCGAAAGATGACTAAACTATTCAATGCCCTTAAACTATCCATGAATTAAGGTACTCAAGATTAATAGTTCTCACAAAATTTTAAAATCCTCTCTTGCTTAGTTTTCTATTTGAAAAATAAAAAATCAGGGAAAATTATGCAACGCCTGATTAACTTAGGCTGATTTCCATGAAATCTGCCCATTTTACTGTTACTGTGAAGTATTACAATGACTGAGAGGCATGGGCGGAAGGATCAAGTATGGAAAAGGGGGGGAGGGGTCCAGCCTGCCTCAGAAATCTCTTGGGCCCCTTCAAGAAATAGGAGTAAGACCACTCAATTTTTTAAAAATTTCCGGAGAAGGGTCCCTGGACCTCCCTTATAGCTAAGGAGATCCCTTGGACCCCTATAAAGAGCAGGGAAAGCCTCACAAATTGCCCATAAAAGGGTGTTTTTAGTGTGCCCTAGACCCCCTCAGACGAGGTGACCTTCGGACTTCCCCCGCCACCCCTCCCATAGAAGTTCCAGGTTATGCCCATGCTATAAGGCCAAAGGATGCTACCAGTTTTATATTAGACACTGATGATGAGTAAAAAAAGGTCACAATTATCATAATATTTAACCCTAAATGTTGACATATTTAACACAAATTTGATAATTCTAGTAGTAGTGCTTCAGACTTTTGAGTGTCTTGAATTATGGAGATCCTGCCACTGATTATCGTTTTTGAAAAAACAAAATTCCAAAGATCCTTATTTTAGGAGACACTTCATTGTCTTTCGTTTGGTTTTTTTAGATATTCTGCCATTAAGCCACACAAAAAAGAGGATGAAAATTTTTGGAGCACTTGTGATAGTGTTAGTTCGGAGCAATGGCATTTCACAGACACTGATTGTGGATTGCGAGAGGAACTTAATTTGTTGATAAAACAGCTGGGAAATAGGCAAGATACTCAGGGAGAAGGTTCTCTCTCATCTGTAACAACTTTCAACCTCTTCGAAGAGGACACTGATCCCACAAGGTTAGTTCAAAGCATCCGTTTCCCTATTTTCGTTGGTTTATAACGGCATGAAAGCCAAATTCTAATTAGTTGACAGTACATTTTTCTCTAGATGATTTATATTTTGCAAAAACAATCAATATCAAAGACAATCCTGACATAATGAGATAGATCAAAATAGAAGGGCAGTATGAAAAATTGGTGTAGTGGTCAGACCAGTCAAACTTATTTATTTCAAGTGTTCCTCGGTGTGAAAATCACTCCTGTCCATAAGCAAATCTACAAAAAAAAAATAAAAAAAAAACCCTTTAAAATTTTTTGAGAAATAATAGAAGCAAATTAAATTTTCCATTCATGCTCGAATACAAAAGTAGCAATATAAAATTTTCAAAACTTTCAGTACTCATTACCTGACAGATTCTCTTTCTAGCTTACAAGTGTCTTCGTTTCTCAAAATTGGATGTATTTCTACCAAAGGGAACTACGTGCATTGAGACATGTGCCCTAAGACCCATAAGAATATATGCATAACAGGGCTCACGTCGTTATGCACATAGTTCCGTTTGGCAGAAATACGTCCAATTGATCTTTCATTAACAGCTATCCCACAAGCTCCTGACATGCAATAAAATCAAAAACTGAGGGCCCATAGGCAAGAGTCTGTTAAATTTGCCTTTACACATCTTATTAATACTTAGAATAAAATGAACTTTTTAGAATTCGACAGAAATAACAAATTTGAGGGGAAGCCTGGAGCACTATTGGAAAAAAACTTTGTCTTGTTAATAACTAACAATAAGTGATGGATGAATTTACACAGGATATGGAGAAAATAAAATTTTATTGCGAAACATAGATAAAACTTGGTTGAGTATAGATGAAGATGATGAAGGTTATCAAACGTAATCAAAATTAAGGATTAATCAGTCAGGCAATAACAGAAAAACGAAATTCTACTCCAGATTAAGAAATTAAGGTAACAGACAAAATGGAGAGTTATTATAGAGAACAACGCATGTCTTTTACCTGGCTATTAGGAACGTAGCTATAATTGAATGAAGCCATTTAGTTTCATTAAACGTCCTAAATACGCGACCATCAGCACTTGGAAAAGTGGGAAGATTAGCTTGCAATAGCATTCGAATTGCAGGTTTCTTCAATAATTGCGGTAAAATTGGCGTCCTTTTAGTAGAACCGCAGTAAAAATTGCGAAAATTTGTGAATGAAAGACAAGTTGTGGTGGTAGTTTTGAAAATTTTGTAAAATAAAAGGGTTTTAAAGAGGGAAGACCAGTTTAAAAAATGGGAGGCTAAGAACTCTCTGCATCTATGTTATTTACACTCATGTGGGAAGTTAAAAGTGGAACTCTTTCCACATGTTACAATCAATGTTTTCGTTGACAATTATAAAGACAGAGCTTTGCACCTTTTTCTTTGCTCAGACTGTGTCAATATTTTCATCATAGGAGCCTTTATTTCAAATTTGATAACTTCAGCTTTGGCTCTCTAAGGTAGAAATATTGTTCAATTTTGCAAGTTTTAAAACTGAGAAGTAATATGGTGGAGCATTTGTCAAGAAGTAATTAGTGAATAGAGGGTTAAATTGGCGTTTTCATATTTTAGGTGTCAAGCAAAAAGAAGCGATCAGATGCTCAGCCTCCCGACGAAGGAGCCTCTTCATTCTGCAACTTTAAAAAATGTTATGACTGAGATGTCCGAAATCGAGTCTGGCATCGAGGAGAATTTGAAGAACAAAGACTTAATTGAATTAATGAACGAGTTGGATCCAACTTAGGGCCTCAAAAATACCTCGAAAACCCTCCTGGAGAATGTATGTACAAATCAAAGTCTTTCACTGCGGATGATCAAGTTTGCTCAGGCCTCAAGCAAGGATGCAGAAACTTCCTGAATACGTGATCGCTGCTGTTGGGTCGATCAATGATAACATTGGAAAGAAGTGAAAAATGAGGAGGCCAGCGCGTAGAAGGTGTAAAGATCCAGTATTTTGTGTTAAATCGTGGTGAAAACTGCCCGTTTGTTGCAAAATCGAGATAAATAGCAGATACAAAGAGAGAGGGCAAACTGTTGTCATCATCATAAAAATTTTGGAGAAAAAAGAGTTTTCTAAAATGGGAAAGCCAGTTTGAAAAATAGAAAGGCTAGGAATATTCTGCATCCCGGGCCTTACAAACCAAAAATTTCAACATTGAAAAAATCCTCAGGAGGTTCAAAACAACACATTAAAAGTTGCATAGTATTCATCAAAAAATACATCAAAGGTTAGACTGCTTTTTTACTAAGGATAACAAATAAGATGAGGAAATGCCCCGCCTCCTGACGCTAATGATTGTCGAAGGTCCTTAAACCGATTGAATTAACACAATTTAAAGATTATTAGAAACAATCATACTAAGACAGTAGCACTCGATGTTGAATTCTTAACCACCAAAGGCCTCTCTTCACCCACTATAGTACATAAAGAATATGAAAATGAAAAATTCCTGATGAATTACGGATAAATATGCTCTGAATCGGATTTTAAATTGAATAGTGGATTTCAAAACGAAGCACCGGATTTAGAGATTCCGACTAATTGAACTGAGAGGGGAGCTAAAGACCCCCAAAGATAGAAATGCTGAGAAGACTGAACTTGATACTGAACTTTTCTATCATCACAAGGCTTTCTCTACGCTGAGAAAATCATCGATAATAAATAATAAGTAAGAAAACAAAAAATAAAATATTTCTTAAAAAAAAAACTAACACTCGCAAAAATAGAGACCTTATCAGATTAACAGTTTTTACTTGGAAAAAATGTTTTCAGTAGGAGTAAAAACCGCAAGTCCATATCTTTCAAAAATTGGAGAGTAAGTAAAAACTCGTTTTTTAAAAATTAATTGGATCACTAGACAGGGAAAAAGATTCAGCACTAAAGAAAATATTTGCCCCATTCAAATTTCACGCAGAACATAATTAAATTAACTCATGAGTGAGAAAAAAATGCTCATAGATTACATTACAAACCAAGCATTCAGACTCCTTGCTTGCAAAAAAAATCCATTGTTAACACAGACCAAATAAGGCATAGAAATCAACCTATACCTACTTAGGACAAATTACTAGGGCTGACTCTCACACATATTTCCTTCCTATTTTGATATTTGGTATCTTTGATTTCTTAGGGGGAAAAAGTTGGTGTACAAGAAAATTCTTCCATCGTAAAATATACCAAAATTATCACAATAGTGGTCGATTTGACTACAGTTTTTCTGTGAGCAGGAAGTGTAAATTCGAAACAACTTGTCTGTCATGAGTATGTGCAAAGGATGCCGGATAATTGGCTGCCTAAGAAGCTTCTGGATTGGGACCTTCTGACAGAAAATGTAGAGGACGACCTGCCAAATCCTCTCTTGATCAAATAAGGCAAGAAATGAGGAGATGTGATTTGCAGGAGGAGCTTTGGCAGGATTGCTGTCAATGGCGATTAGGTGTCGCAGAGCATAAGAAAGCCCGTTAAGAGCAGCATGCTAGTCGTAGTAGTAGTAGGAAGTGTAAATTAGCCTACACGAAAAATATTATTTTCTTACTGATAAGTTAAATTTGAAGAGTTGTAATGCTTCCATCGTATTCTGAGTAAAATTACGATAAGGAAACATATATTGAGAGTTCTTAATTTCGTATTTACCCTGTTTAGTGTTCTATTATCAGTGAATATTCATGGATCGTTAAAAGGACCAAGTATTCAGTTGATCGAGAAACCTACATTGACAGCTAGTGTGAATAATACGTACCTCAGATTGCAATGAAAATCTCCGCTGATGTTTTGGTTTTGAAGGGAAACCAAGCAACAGTCTCAATTGATTCGTTCATTGATTAGTTGGACTGCATTTTGCAATTTGGAACTACAAATTCTGGCTCTTCTGGGAAAACACTTATGTGTATAGAGAAACTAATGGCACATACGTTGTTGTCAAACCGGGTTAGAATTTATAGTTCCATATTGCAAAATGCAGTCCAGTTTGTGTTTGTTTAAAAACGAAATATTCTTCTCTCTTTGTTTGGGAAAAATAACACAAAATTGCAAGGGAACATTTCTGTTGGTTTCCCTCGAACACATAGTTGGAGATTTCCAAAAGTTCCAATTGAGATACATACTTTTTGCATTTAGCCATTTATTAAAATATTATAACCCTTGATATAACTTAGAAAATGATGAGGACTGTCTCTAATTTGTGAGAATATTGTCAAAGTCTAAAACTAGAATAACTGTACAGCAAAATATTAAATTTCGACGGTAGAACTCCCAAACAATACATGTATCTCATTTGCGGTGTTTCAAAACATCTTTGCTCCTATTTTACTTTTTTTTAAAGAGGAACAACTCAGCGTCATTCCTTGAAGTTTTCACAGAATTTCTTCGCACAGGGAAGAAAAATCTCAGCAGTTTATAAAAATTTTCATTGATTAGTTTTCCAAATAAAAAATAAAGTACAGTAAGAGTCCTGCACTGTCGCACACAGAGAAAGTGGTTTGGAAGTTTTCCCATTGATGTACACAACAAAATGAACCATTGGATTATCAAAAAGACGAAAACTATTGAAACTTCAAGATTAAGTATACACAAAAATGCACGATGAGAAAAATAGACTTAAACTTGATGATCTCGATCAAGTCAAGTGAAAATAGATCAATTTTTCTATAAGCAAAATCTTGAGCAGACTGGTTAGGCTGGAAAAATTTCAAAGTTGACCTTAGTTTTTTCAACATTTACTAAATGTAATATTGTTGATAACACTGGACAAAATGAAATGATTTCCAGGCTCAAAATTAACTAACATTCAATATTTTCCTGGTTTATTTAAGGCAATTTACAGTGTAAAAGGATAATCTTCTTGGTCAATGTTTTTCATCAAAAAAATTGTGTCACCCTCTACTCCTATTGATCCAAAATTGTGAAGTATTGAAAGTCAAAAATACAACGCATACACTCACACATCTACACACCAAAGTTTTCTTCGTTATTAAAAATATGTAGTTCCATTCCAAAAATGTTGATAGAGAGCTTATGCTTAAAGAAAAATGTGTAAAAATAAAAAGTGTTCATGTGATTATATTTTTGTTGCTTTGTTGTTTAAATAAAAAAGTATTTATTGAAGTTAACAATTTTGTAACTAACTGAAATAAAACAGCACAAAATATTTTAAGATTTAACACCCCTGAAATTTCTCTTTTCTTGCATGTATCCTCACAAAAGGCTCCTTATAGATGGCAATGTGCATGAACGACTGGTAACATTCCTTCATAAGAACCCAGCGGAGCATCCCCCAGTAATAAGAGTTAAAAGAAAAACTTTGAGGCATGCAAAGGGAATTAATGATTGGAAGCAAAAAGTGATTGCGATCTTAACTTGAAACTAAAAAATCCCCCCCCCCCCAAAAAAAAAAAACCCCCCCCCCCCCCAAAAAAAAAAAAACCATGAAATTAAACATGATGCCAAATTGCAATTTATCTTCTACGGTTCACCAGAGTTAGAGGAAAAACTTATCTACTCGATGAAGAAAAAAAATCTGACTTCTTTATGTTTTAATCACTAAGCAAATTAATTAAGTTAACACCTGCTAGCTTTGTGATGAGAATTTAATTAAGCAAGTAAGATACAAAATATATTTTAAAAAAATTTAAAAGAGCAGTGGAAAAGGGAATTGAGCTGTCTAAAAAAACAAATTCGGACCAATAAGAGATAGAAGTCTGAAGCTGATGGAGAATCTTAGTAGCAGTAATGACATTAAGAAATAGTCTAAAGAGTAAAGCCAAAATAAAAACAGGACAAAAAGGAAATTAATCAGAGAGATATTTATGACGTATTTGATTTTCACAATCAATTACAGCAATGAACATTGAAAATGCTGAGCCAATTACAAATGAAACGTGAAAATTTTATAGATTTTCGACTTAAATTTAAAAAAATATAAATTTGAAAATTCAATTTGATATGAAGTAAGAAATTTGATGAAGATGGAATTTGAAAATTTAGGTATGATTGAACTTGGAAACTTTAATCGTTTTGATTAGGAAATGTAATGAGATTCAAATTAAAACATTCGATAAAAATTCAATTTGAAAATTAATGATTCTTAAATTCTAGGAGAACTGATTAAATTCATTAAAAAAATATGCTCATCGATACAATTTTAACATTGAAATTATAAACTGACAAATTTCAGGATCTACATATATGAAACTGTTTCTGTCAGAGGTTCAGTCAATTATGACAATCTGGCAAAATTTAAAGCCGCGTCATCTCAAATTTTAGAGGGGAGTCTTATTAAAAAATTATGAAGGATCAAGGGCTTCATTTAGATCAGTCACTTCATGATAACATTAAAACATTCACATGACAATAACGGATACAATTTTGAACAAAATAGAAGTTTAAACATTGAGGGGGAAATAAAAATAAACGAGGTATAAAATTCCATGCTGTTTGTCGAGTTTTTCAGCAATTTTCCTCTTTTTAAGGATTGATTTGAGTCGCCATTATAATAAATTGAGGTATATAAAAAGAACTTGAGAAGAAAAGTTCTCATTAAAATCTGACAGAAAATAACAAGAAACACTATACAGAGATCATTGATTTAGTAAACCTATTTACAAATAGAACACGTTTGTTCTGTTTCCCATTCCTCTACAGGTAAAATAGCTTGTCATCTAGAACTTCTGCATGGGGCCGTTTAACACTTTGCCCGATCAGGTACGCCAGTTTATGGGCATACTGAAACATAGAGACAACAGAAAATTAGAACCTATTTCCGAGATGTTATTTAAAAATTAAATTTTAACATAGGAGGTAACCACGATTGTACAGTTTCACAAGGAGATATTAATCTTCGCAGTATTTAGGAGAAGTAATAATTGAATGAGCCTGTTGCAAACTTCTTCTAGAGCAAAGATAAGTGTCGTTCCCCATAGATAATGTCTCAAAAATAACAATGAGCGAATCTGCAAACTCTGAAATGCACTCCTAACTTCACAATCTGCATAAGAAATTTGCGTTTTTTTAAAGCTTCCTGCTTCAAAAAGGATACTACTGTACAGGCGAACATTTCATTAGAGGAGTCATTCCATTCAATCCCTGCTCAACATGGCCGACGCTTCCGCCCGCAAGTGGAGGAGAGCACAAGGTTAATCAAGGCGGATACCTATCAACGCGGGAAAAATGTGAATGTAAGCACACTGATTGTTATCAGGCAGTTAGAATCATCGTCCCATCACATCTGTTTTGGCGAACTGGCGTTGGCTATGTTAAGCATCGTGTAGTGATCTTGTGAGCAGGGGTTGGATGAAATGACTCCTTTGACGAGATGTTCACCTGTACTGTAGTATCGTTCTTGAAGCGGGTAGTTCAAAAAAATGCAAATTGTGAAGTAAGGAGTGCATTTCAGACTTTGCCCATGCCCTCATCGCGATTTTTGAGACATTTTCTATGAGTAACAACTCTTATTTTAGCTCTGGTAAAAGTTTGCAAGAGGCCCATTGTCAATTCTCATGAGGGATTTTCCTATTTTTTAAAATTCTTCACCAAAACTTGTAGAAATACAAGACATTAAATGTGCAACATTGTTGTAATTGTTATAAATAGAGCGATATGACTCAAACAGCCTAACCGCTTGTTACACTGATTAATTTCCTCTCATGTTTTACTTTTTTCAAAAGAGAACTACCAAGATATGAAAATTTTCATGAGGCACTAGTTACAACAAATTTGAATTTTCCGCTCACAAGAGATGTCTGAATCTGTGTGAATCAAATCAAGCTCTATAAGTGTTTCGGTAGGTTCCAAAATCGAGCAGTGTTCCTCTCCCACTTTGTGTTGTTCAAAATGTATAAACATTGTACAACAGCTCAGCTGAAGCCTTGAGGTTGAAATTGCTGTATTTTCATACCGCGGAGACTTTCACGGTAACGGCAAGATTTAGATCAAGTAGAAAATTGTTAATTTTAAGTGTGAAGGTTACACTTATGCATTGAAAAACGTTGATATTTTTCTTATGAGCTATTTTCAACAATATTCGTTGCACAAACAAATTGAGTTCAACGTGAAACTTGGATGAGAAAACATGTTTCACAATGCTTAAATTTGCACCTGTCTGGTGATTAATTGATATCTGGCTCTTTAAAACTGAGTGTGTTGTACAGCAACTCAACTGGTGAAATAAGCACTTCATCTGCTGAGTTAGGTCAATTGATGAGTGAACTCAAACTTTACAAACCTGGCATGGAGCGGGGACGCGGATTGTTCCCGGCCAATTGTAGTATAAGTGGCACAGTTTATATGTTATTTTTTGAGCCATATCGGGTTTCAATAAACTGTTTTCGGAATCGTACAAGATGACGTAATGGGTGGGCGAAACAGTTCCCTGGTAACAACAAAAATGAACAAAGTCCGTCAAAAATGTGAAAGATACAAGTGATTAATAAAAAACATGAGTAATTTCTAGAGAAGAAGGTTAGAAAGCAATGCTCAAGGATGCAAACATTCCTTCGTAATTCACCAGGGATCCACAAAAAATCAAGTAATATTTCAACATGCTCGAACTTTGCAAAATGGAAGAAGGACCCACTGATGAGAAATATTTTAGGTCACCTCATCACAGTAAGGTGATAGAGAATACTTTACTAGGAAACAATACCTTTCCAAGTAGGTTTTGAAAGTTTCCTCGTTTTACCTAGTTTTTGGGGTCATTAGAAAATTCCTACAGGATGGTATGATAGAAGAAAAAAGAAATAAAAAAGGCAACCTAATTCATCTGTACTGAACTGAGGGGGAAAATGTTATTCGTCATCATTAGTTCACTCAAAGGTGAGTTTAGAACCTATGCAGTATATCAAATAAATAATAATGATAAAAAAATTCAAATTTATGGGCAGATAGATGTGCTCTGGCAGGAATTTTGTGAGGTTATTATTATATTCTTATTCTGATCCTCTCTCGTGCTGTGGTAGTTCAGAAAAAAAGACAATGAGTCAACATTAAAAATATTAGAAGAAAAACAAATATTGAAGGAACATTATAAGCTTCCTTAGTCTTTAGAAATTTTTGTCAAGAGTCCACACACTTAAACTTCGTTTTTGGTCACGAAAGCCACAAAAAGCCAAAAAATAAAGCTGATAAATTTTATCTTATTTAGTTTTTTTTCTAAGTGTAATCGTTATCATATTCCCAGTAGATTTCTTTCATCGCAAACAAATTAAAAAATCCATAGTAGCACAGCTCTATATTAATAAGCAAGGGTATTTTGAAGAAGCCACAGTGTCACAGCTTTTATCTGCTGAAAGCCACACTTAAGTAGGTAATTTCTGAATTGAGCTGAGCAATTTAACTTGGTCAGTGGAGTGATATTATAGTTCATTCAAATATAAATTGGTTCTATGAAAATTAGGTGTGAATAGACAAATGCTCATAAAATGAGAATTGTGGGCACATTAAAAACTTTCTTTTAGCAAACAGGTAAAAATTAAAAAAATCGTTGATCAATTATGCATGCCTCTGAGAATTTTGTTTCCTAAAATGAGGATGCAGGGGCACCAGACTGACACCTTTTTCTCCACTGTTTATCATTGACAAATGTTTCCAGAGCTAAAATAATTATGGAGCCCTACAAGTGAAGACAGTAAACTATAAAACACTCAAGACTTACCTGTCTCACTAGTTGCGGCACGAGGAAGAAGTCTTTGTAATGTTTCCTTGTCACAGAGTGGTCGAGAATTGTGCCTGGGGGTGGATTCTCTAACTGACGACCCCGCTGTAAATTTTAAAAAAGGAAAGTAGGAAACATTACCGACAGAAAATCTGATTTATCAAAAAATTACCTCCACGATTTGATATATTCACACTAACGAAGTCTGCTAAAGAAGTCGTGGTCTTTCCATAAACAGCTCATTTCCTCCACTCAGAGAAGGCTCCATGAAGGTTTTATTAAGAATAAGGGAGCTTAGAGAAGACCCTTAACATAGTAGCATGAAGAAGACAATTTTTCCGAATTTGGGGTGGAATTCAAATAGTATAGAATTCAAGAGTATGAATCTGGAAATAGATCCTAACAAGGAATTAAAATGCCTTATCACTACAAAATACCGAGGGAGAAATTTCTTAATTTAGACAAACTTTAAGGTAGGTCCCACCTGAATATTTGCAAAATCCCCCATGTTTTTCTTCTAATTTTATAAGTTTTGTAGTGGAAAATAATTTTAATACACTGTAAGGATCTGTTTCCAAGATATTTTCTTGAATTCCACTCCAGGATTGGAAAAAATGTCCCTTTTATGATGATATGTTAAAGGTCTCTTTAGACACCCTTATTCACAATAAAACAACATTGGACCTTCCTAAGAAGACATGTTTAAGGAACGACCATGAATGCAATCCTGAGTCTGCTATTAAGATTTGAGAAAATGTTTCATGACTCCTGTGATAGCAGACTACAATAATTTGACTAAATTTAGAAGATGGCAGACCTTTTAAAATATGTAATAGGTCCCAGGGTTGGACAGCCATACAGCAACAGTATGTTTTTAGGGTAAAAATAAGACTTTTTCCCCTTATTAAATTGTTTCCAAAAATGCTTCCAGTGGGTGATACACCCCCCTCCTCCAAATTTATAGGGTAGTGATCTCTTTTTAAGAATTTTGGCAATGGTTACACACCATTCATAAAAAACACTCTTCCCCATGATCTAGATAATCACAACTCATCCACCGCCACAAAAATATAAAAATCTCAAGTCAACAAGGAATTTTAAGGGGTATTGTTCTTTCAGGTCAATTACTTGGTTTTTTGGCCCAAAAAAGGAGCTATTTTCAAGGTACCATTATAGTGGCCAGAACTGAATCTTGGAGAATAAGTAGTCATTGGCATTTTTTTTCTATGTGGCTTAGTTTTCAAAAAAATCGCAATTGAATGGACAAATAAAGCTATGGAGAGGTTGTCTCATTGCAGAGAGAACTTGCGACGCAGAGTACGCCTCAACATGTACGGCTCGAAACTTGGTGTCATCACTACAAGTAGCAGACCTCTTCGAAGATACGTTGGTTCATTCAAGCGCAACTTTCCAAAAAACTAGGCCCTGGAGGGAAAAAAATGCCAATTACCATTATCGAAGATTATTCTAAGTTTCGTCAAAGCTTACAATTTATCTCAAAACTAATTATACAGATTTATTATAATATTTATTAGATTGAGATCAATTTATATGAACAAGACTCTCAGCCAACCATTTAATTATGACTTCACATATGCGCGCATAAAATAATACTTACACGAAGAAAAATGCGGGTGTTTATCCTCTTTTGAACTACTATGAAGGTGAATTTAGGATTGTAATCAGGCGCAATTACTCTAAAGACCGATTCGATTTGAGCAATTTCATAATCTCTGATCAGTTTCATCGCACCATCACCGACACCATCTCGGTAAATTATGATTCGATCAGGGAACTTTCCATTTACCTGGAGGCAGAACAATCGGTAGTTAGAAATTTCATGAAAAAACATTCAGGGAACGAAAATTTGAGATGAGCAAATAGGCTAATGAAGTTTAGTTGCAGATGTGGAGGGTAAGATTTTTCCATCTTTCAAGAACAGTTGTCTTTGTTCTTCCTCTCTGAAAATGTGAAACATCCTAGCAAAATGAGGACAGTCACGATAATATTTTAATATATTTTTCCTGGAGAAAATTAAAACAATATTTCTTACCCTCTTGACATTTTTACGATTTTATTTGGGAATCAAACCTATTCGAAAAAATGTTTATAAGTAAATATATTGGTGACATTTCGGACATCAAAAAACCCTTTCTTAGCTTTGACAACGAGAAAACTTGCTGGAGACTTTTTGAGCCTTTGAACCACTATATACTTTGTAAAGAAGTTCTCTACAAAAATGAGAACATGATTTCACACATGCATAAAAATATTACTCTGCGATATAAAATCATAAAGACAACACAGGACATGTGGTGTTTCTACTCCCTGTCACATCTCAGCAGCAGCATTTGCTACTCCCCTCACTACTCACACGGCGACCGTTGTTGGCAACAGAGGCATTCTCCTCCTCCTTGTCCTTCTTCCGTCACAAATACTTCTTTCCTCCTCTCTACGGTTGCTGCTTCCACACAGTTGCCATTTCTCTCCTTTCCTTCCATTTAGGTTCCACATTTTCCTACCGGTTCCTTCATTTTCTACAGAGGAAGAGTATCAAAAAAGACCATTTTTGAGCCCACTGTGGCTGAATTTCCTCAATTCTACCATTTTTTGCTCATTGAATGTCTATATATAGCAGAACACATCATTACTTGGTCATTTTCCCTCCCTTCTTAGGTCTGATACTGGCCTGAACATGGGTCTGAGGGCCGATAGCGGCAAAAAATGAGGGTTTTCGGCATTCGACTTCAAACCATCGAACTTCTCATATTTATAACATGAGAAGCCAAAAATGATCAAATGATGATGCATTGTGTAAAATTTAGACCCTCAAGAAAATTCAGCTAGGGTGGGCCACAAAACGGCCCTTATTGATACATCTCCCTCCAGCTTGGTTATCTTGGCGATTTTGCAGTAACAGGAACTCGCCTGTATTCTCTCTCTTTGGCTTACACTCAGCATTAATTTCCTCTCATGCAAATGAAATTACTTGATTGTGAAGATTCATTCGCCACACTGTTATAAATCATTATTAAACTTCATGATAGACAACAACAACAACAGTAGAAATAACACTTACACGATGGAACTGTTTCAGACAGCTAGAAAACATGAGCTTTAACTCATCTATTATTTCTTGTCCCTTGTTTTGAAGAGCCACTTTGGAATACCATCGCGTGAAACTTTCGTTCATGCTGGCTACAAACGCTGAGACACTGTTTGATTTTTGGGCACCTTCATGATACGTATCCATTCCGCAGACCATCAATTTGACAGATGGCTGTAAAAAAATCAAGGAATGATGAACAATTGAAAATGTTTACTTTATACAGGGTGATCTTAAGAGTCCCGTACCACTCCTTTAGCACCATGGCTTCTTGCCTCTTTTCAGGGCGATTCTCTTAAAATTAACAGGGATCCCAAAAGTTGTTTCTTAAGAGCAATTGCATTATCCTGCATATTCTACTTATAATGGAATCACACTGTACTATAACATCAGAATGAAAAATTCTCAGTGGTAGGAGTACAAAAACTATTTCTCCACCACAGCATTCTCATGAGTTCTACCAAATAAGGTTAGAATGTTTCAGTATGAAGTTAAGAAGAAACATTAAATAATTTTTTCTGTTAGTAAAATGTTGTAGCAGCAAAGATTTCCTTATAACTTGCTTCTACTTATCACATTAAATCGCTTCCCCTGAATCAAGAATCTAAAATCAGCAGAAATGATTATGATGTTTTAGAGTCCAGGTCAAATAAGTTTATGTTCTTTTAGAGTACAACAAAAGATAAGCTGTTTTTTGTAAAGAATTGAAAATCAATACAAGAATCAAGAAGACATATTTTCTGTCACACTCCAAAAGTAAAAAAACTTGCTTGGCATAGACTCTAGCATGACGGAACTTGACTGAAATCTTGACGCACAGAAGAAAAGGAGGTAACAGGCGAGTGTTCTGATGTGAAGAAATTGAGAGCTAAGTTCATCTTAATAAATGGCAAGGTCGTAATTTACATATTTCCCTGAATGCAAGCCATACTTCTTTCCAAAATCTAACTTCACAAAGGAAGGTTAAAACCCTGTTTTGGGTCAGAAAGTTGCTGCAGCCCTGCATTTGAGTTTATTTTTATTGGACAGCTGAATTTAGTTTTTGTGGTACATAGAAGAAAAATAATTAATGATTTTGGTAGTAAAGTACCAAAGTATCAGCATGATTGTGCGTATCTGGACGTATTAATGCAAAATGGACCTATACGCAAGCAGAAATATGGTGTGAGCTTGTTAGTTGGGGGCCATAAGAATGAATGGGAAATATAAAGCGCCAGTGACATCAGCCGCCGCTGCCGCCGTGCTTGAACTCATGAGCCCTGTTGACAATACTCTTTTCACATGCCCACAGCTCGTGAGTTTGCCCTCAGTTCCTTCTCATTTAAAGCAAAATATGCTTTACCATTTTCTCAAAAGGAACTATTTTCACTTATACATTGTTTCTCATCCAGCTCACCACAAGCACATCCCATCATTCAACTTGCACTTAGTTCCTTTTAGCATAAATACGTCCAGTTTGAGGAGCTAGACATTTTGTGTGACTTGTAAAACTCAATTCTCAAAATAATGAATTGTAAGTAGAGATTACATAAAGAGGATGAAAATTCAATATTTTCTGAAATCTGGAATCGAAATCAACCTGAAAGGTACTTGAAAGGCCTACAACTTGGACAAACAAAACTGCAACCTTGCTTGACAAACAATAGCATCTGGATATCGTTCAAAGAATGGTTCTTACCGGCACAGGAATGTGTACAGCCCAGAGGGAGCCTCCCATTTTACAGTTCATTTGTAAGGCAATTTTTTGTACAATTGAGCGGGCTTTGTCAGGCTTTGAAAGTGTTTTTCCTAGAAAAACCTACACAAGCAAAAGTAATGAAATGATTAAAAGCTTAAATGATATAACTTATATACAAAATAACTGCTGTACCTTGCGATTACACCTTACTTAAATCGAGACCTAGTAAAGCAGTGCATAAAAAAGCACAAAGTCTCCAAAAATGGTGGAGAACACCAAATAAGGGGTTCCAAGGATGAGGCGCACAAATGAAGTGTTTCAAGAAATACATGTTTGAGGTATCGAAATTACACGGATTTTTATGGCGAAAAGGAAGTTCAAACTGACTTTATTATGTTGAATTTGGGAACGAATTTTTCACAGAATATGCATTAAGACTAGTTTTACTAGAAATTATTAATATCTCAATTTTTTCACAAACTGCACTTATTTGCCTTGTCCTCCTAGCTCCTCAAATCTGATCACATTATCATATTACTAACTACAGCATAAATACCGAGTTGGAAATCTCGGCAGAGAAATATTTAACAAGCTGACTGTTGAAGCTTTTTTGGAGCCTGCATGATCTTGTATAAGACAAAAATTTGTACTATGTTTGCAGGGATACCTGCACAGACAATGAGCTGATAATTTTTTGACAATTGTCAAGTAACTGTGAACATGCTGAAGTCATGGAATAGTCATAAAAGCAGCAGAAGTTTGATTTGGTTGAGTCTGATTTGGTCATAGCATTTTGTTTTGATGTCTTGTGGATTAGCTTGAAACAATAGGATCCGCTAAAACAGCAACTTTCTGTGTTGGATATTAACCAAGATATGGCGCTTTGAAAAATTATGTCTATGATGTCATCCACTGTGGGAGTGACACCCTTGGTTTCTTCCACCTTGCTTTCATCAATCAGCGAGACACCCATTTTGCACTGGTTACTTAATGTGAAACTTGAATGAGGGCAAGGTGGAGGAAAACAAGGATGTCATTGCTGCGGTGGATGACGTCATAAACAGAATTTTTCAAAGTGTCATATCTTGGTTAATATTGAACATAGATTGCTGTTTGGACTGATCCTATTATTTTCCGCTAGTCTACAAGAATCAAGTATCAAAACACGATTCTGTGATCAGCGCAACTGACCCATTTTCATAATACTGTAATACGTATGATAAGTCTATACGAGTTAAACTAACTCTAGTATCCTGAAAGGGACACTAGCCTGCGGGTGTACCAACCTGAGAAGCGATGGCTTGATCAGAGCAGCACAACTTCTTAACAGCTGCATATTTGTCTTCCCGCAAACTTGGAAATACGATAACAACAATTTGTAGACCATTCCTGATTATTTCTCTCAATTTTTTCAGGTATTCCTGCGCACTGTCGTTTGGTAATAGGTACATGGCAGGTTTATTAATGAAAATGCCCATTTGCTTTGTTGACTTGAACATATGCTCTTCAAAAGTTCGAACAGGACCTTCGTCTTTTCGAGTGTAAATTATCGCCCAATTCTCCATTTTCATCTGCAAAAAAAAAAAACGTATGTATTTTCTTTACTTCAGGGTATCCGCAAGAGTTGGGACTAAAATTTTGGTGCCATTACCAAAAGATTCGAGGTAGGTTTATTCAAAGTCCACGCTCATTGTTTCATTCAAGTTGTTCCATTTATTTCCAGCAAAGGATTGGTAATACAAGTTTATATGAAGGGTCTGAGGCACCCGCTTTTTTAAATTCACTTTCTAAAGGAGAGAGATAACTACACTTCCAGGAATTTTATCGGATTTTATTGTAAATCCTAAGTGGCGAAGGAATCCGATTTTGAAGATGCCAAAAATGGGACCAATTAGAAATGATATTTATGGTGGGCTCTGATGATGTAGCTAGGAGGGGGAAACAGTGTTTCCTGTTTGGCTGAATTTAGCCTCATAGATTACATTGCTCAGGGTGGCTAGCAAATTTTTTTCCATCATTCCCTGACTTTCTCTGACTTTTTTTCGATAACAAAAGAGCACTTGATTAATTTGGTCAAAACGTTGGCACAACAACGCGATCAGCTGGCCCCTTGCTAACCCGCTTTTAATGTAGAACCTGGCTCCACAAATAATTTCCTGATTTTACCCTGTCGCTAGGCACCTGGCTTGCTGTGTCAATTCAACTTTTGGCTTTGAATTGGCCGGATTTCGATTAGCTTTTTTTTTCTCAAAAGAGATTACCTTTTTTAGTAACTTTTTAAAGAACTGTTTGTTTTTTTTACTGAACTTTACCTTTGGGAAACTGTTATACAACCCTGAGAAAATTCCTTACTGTTGCCCCTTCATGATTAATTTAAGATTAGTGACACTCCTTAAAGGAGCAGTTATGTACTTAGGAAAATCATTATCAATTTAGTGCCCGACTTAACGTCAATAGATGGACAATGTGACAAGAGAACACACTTGGTGAACATTTCACTACATTCTGTATACCGTTTTTCAGAAATATCTACTCCATTGGTCCAGAAATGAACGCACACTCTGTTGGGGATTGCTAAGTGCTCTAACATCTTCATTAATTGGAACCTCTGAGGAGAGATAGCTGGAAGAAGTTCATTTTGCGTCTTAAGATAAAGCGTGAAGCAGGAGCTACAGCCCAAGCTTCTCAGTTTTTCTACGACAGATTTTAAAAGAAGATTTCGCATTGGTGCAAATTGTCATTTCTTGGAAAAAGAAATTTCTATCCATTCTAGGGTGGGAAAATCCACTTGCACAGTTCTTTGTATCACACGAAAATTACAGAGAAATTCCTGTTCAAAATTTCGCTAATTTATGAAAGTAGTCTGTGGATAAATCTGTGAAATTTTCAACTTTTGCCTCATAGTTTCTGCGTGAAAACACAATTTCTAAACTGGAAACTAGCACTGGTTGGAATGCGTTATTTTGTCTGGGGAACGACAAAGTATTGTGATCTTGACCGAGATTAGGTTGAACAACAGCGATAAATTAGGATTCAAAACATCTCCATTCAAAATTTCATTTTTAATCCATGGCACTATCTCACACATACTTAACCAAGTTCAGGACCAAAAGGTATTTAAAATTAGATAAACTCTAGTCATAATCACGTTTACAGTGCATTTATACCTTCCATTGGCACAAAAATGAAAGGTTCCGCTTCCAATTTATTCTTGAGAAAACTCCGGTGAATTTTCTAGAAGAGAAATAGAATCAGTAGACTCATGGTCCTGCTTCAAATAAAAAATAAGACTTGAACATTGATCAATGGGTACTCACTGGGCATAACAAGGGCTTGGAGGTAGCCGCTCGGTTCCAGTCAGCGTTCGGATTGGCAGGTTCTTCTATGCCCTTCCCGAATAGGATCTTTTCAGGAGCAATGACCCTGGTTTGCAAATCAGTCGATGCACTAGTAAACGATAGACCCCAATCCTTCAAAATTTTGATGGCCTCTGGATTAGCTGTAAGTCAAACATGCAACAAACATTCATAATAATAACTTGATATTTAAAATGAGTAAGACACACTCTCATGAAAAAAACTCCTGTCTCCTAAAAAATTAAAGAATTTGCAATTGATCTCGTGAATATCCTTTCTGTGCCCTAGCATGCTCACTCCCACAACCTTTTGAATATTCAAATGAAAATTCCCTGATTTGACCCAAAATTTGTGGACTATACAAGTCAAAACTTTCTTAACTTTTTAAGAGGAAAAAAACAAACATCAACTTTGATTATAATTAGCCATGAAGGTCGCTGTAAGACCAAGAATGCGACTGCCCTAGGCATTCAGGTTGGAATAGGGTTCTGCTCAGTGTTCAAAATACTTGCCGGCCGAACAGCAATTTGCCAGTAAGAAATCGCCTTGCCAGTCTGCCTCAGGGTAAGCTGCTGTGCTACAGAAAAACGCCGTATGAACTTTTGAGAGTTGAAATTTCCTTGAATAAAATGTTCATTTTGGAGGAAAGTTATGAATATTTTTCCTTTAAATTTTCAGAATCTTTAGGCGAAATTGCGAACAAAATTATCTGGAAAATTGGGAGGAAAATATTCATAAGTTTACCAGAAAATTCGCGTTTTATCACAGGAAATTTGGCAGCGCCTGAAGGTTCATACGGCGTTTTTCCTTCGCACGGCAGTAAGTGACAATATAGCAGTGAATTGGAATAGAAACAATTTGTTTAACATGGAGGTAACAATTAAGTAGTATAAAATTTGAATCCTCACATTTGATTCTAACTCACTTCAAATGAGGGAAACTTGCAGGCTAATTGTTGAAGTTGATAGCCAAAGCTATAGACAGAGAGGACAAAAAGGATATGGAGGAATCTTATTGGTGAGGGTGGGTGGTTGCAATGGACAAAGGAGATAGGTAATAGACTAACTAACGGCACCCCATGAGAGACCCTTCAGTTAGTCTATCATGACCCCTCGGTCCACAGGAACAACCCAAATCAACCAATAGGATCGTTCCATACTCATTATGTCCTCTTTGAATATCAATTTCAACAATTGACCTGCAGACATCGAATTTAACATTGACATGGTTTCATACTTACATTTGACACTTCGTACATATTGTTCATAAGAACTTAGGCGCATTTCTGGGGTGGGTTTTGTGACATTTCCCAGGTCTTTCATTAAAGTGAAATTACTGCGTTGACTGTCTGACAAGCCTGTCTCACAGCACAGTTCAGGAACTAAACAAATGAGCTGCTCGGCATTGCCCTGTGGAATACAAATAATTTCCAAATAAGTGAGACCCAGATAGCGATTTTACTGTATTAGCAAATTATTGCAATCTGCAAAGATCGCAATTATTGCAAATTATTTGCAATTAGTGATCTGGTAGATCGCGATTAAACGGATCAGTCTTTTGGTCCCTTCAAGGACTTCAAGCTAATTTGAGGTAGCAGATCAATTCCTGTGTCCAAGCAATCCAATAAATCTAGGTCTCACTGTTCTTGGAAGCAGAAAAGTAAGGAAAAAAGAAAAATTCAAAGAATTAATAAAATGAAAAATTGTGGAAAAAATACCATTGAAGACGCTCAGATGTATTAGTTTTTGACCTACTACAAGCCAACACTGTCTAGATTTCAATCAAGAGCTGAAATTACAAAAACTTACGGAATGTTTCATCAACTAAATAAATAAATACAGGCACAGCTTGAAGGGAAGTTATATGAAAAAAAGGATGTGCATCTCCGATCTCTTCGGCATCTTCAAGTGGGGTGAAAATACTATGTTTACATAATTATATCAGCTAGTTTGGAAAAGCTATGATAAATGACCAAATTTGGCAACCATGAATTTTCACTGAGAATGTGATTCATAATGTGTCAAATGTGACATGGGACTCTCAGGTAATGTTCAGGGTGACTAAAATCCCCCCAAAAATGATTGGGGAAAATTAAGAGGTGCCTCCCCACAAAAGAGAGTAGCCAAAATACAAGGTCTCGATTCCGACAGAGATTCGTATTTTTTACTCAAGATTTTCAACGCTACAAATGAAACTAAGATACCATTTAAAAGCTGACGATTTCAGCTTTCTAACGGCATGATAGTTTTTTATTTTGGTGCATTTGGGCAGCAAGAAATTGACTTTGACTGGAGCCACCCGTATTTCTTCGTTTCTTGACATGGTTTCGAAAAATTCCTATGTGCTGGCATTGAGTTGCTCAAAATTAAAAAATTATTACACCAAGCTGAGAATGTGATCTTTCTAACGGTGTACATGTTTTATTTCTTAACTTTAAAAATGGCAGAGATAAATTCAAGGGAACCGGCCGTCTGAGATGGAGGAAAATTCCTTGACATGATAGCAGTGAAATTCAGTTTATAGGCGGCCAGTTGCACCAAATTACAAAAACTATAGACCGTTAGAAAGTTGAAAGCAAGAGCTTTTTAACGATATAGTTGGATTTTAGTTTGCAATAAGATTTGTGCCTGAAAAAAATTAAAATCTCTTGGATTTCGTGATTTTTTGGAGGAAAAAACCTTGAAGTCTATTCATTTTTAGAGGAGCTCAATCAACATATTTTGATTTTTGGCTAAATACATGGTTTTTTTACCCTACTTTAAGATGCCGAAGAGATCGGAGATGTACATTCACTTTTCAGATAACCAACCTTCAACAGAGTCGTGCATAGTGATTCAAAAGCCCTGTACCAACTGCAAGAAGCATCTTCTCTTTACTTTATCAATGGATTGATAGTGAGATAAAGACTTAAAATATTGAGAGTGTTCCAGTTGGAGCCCCCCAAAATTATAAGAGGATCACTCTGAAATGGGACAAAAACCCTAAGGGTTATAAGGGTGCTATAGGACTTTTCAATTGCCCTATTTACCTACATTTATTTTGAAAAATGAACTCACAAGCCATGGGAACGCCCAGGCTAGCCAGACACATCCTCCACAGCTGATATACCTATATGTTTCTATGATTTAGTAACTCAGAATAAAACTGAATGCATTATAACTGAATTCACTATATAAATCTAATTCTCATATCTATTTTGGATAAGTAGAAACTCCTGTTGGGGTCAACTTACAGCTTGGATGTCCCGTTTTCTCTTTCTATGAATTAACATAGGTTGATTAACATCTCGGATAGTTATCTCATACTGTTGTTTATAATATTCACAGTAGCTGATCTGGAACAGAAAGGAAAAAAATTAATGGAAACCATTTGAAAATTGCCTACTAAAATTACTAATCATCATCTAACTTAATTATGAGGTTTCTCTCTTTCTCTTGAATGAAATAATAGCTTCATTTGATATTATTCGTAGTAATTCACTTTTTTCTCCCTGTTATAAAGTCATTTCAAATTTTTAAACCGGAGATATCTTTGGGAACAAATAATCAACTATTGATTTCATTGAATGATTAATTTTAATTATTATAGAGACAAAAAGTTGCACATTAAAGGCAATCAAGATTAATTTTTTTGATCATAATTGTTACCGAGGAGAAAAATGAATCCTGATTGAGTCACTTAATTTGATTAGATGAAATCTTTAATTTCCTGCCACATATTAAAGTTTAAATTTCCACCGCGATTATTTGAATTTGCATCACTAATGCACTGCTGTCATGTAGCAGTGGAAAAAATCACACAAGACATCGTGACAACCCCTTGAAAACATCCTCACAAGGCGCGTGCAATTTTAATATGTCAATGATAAAGATTATTCGGATACTTTTGATGGGAGAGGCTGGTAGTATTTGAAATAAAAAAAATGTTGTCGACGAGGGCATGGACATACCCAAGCACAAATTTTGGGAAAGTCGTATTATGAATGACTCTTGCTCTCTTGTCTCTTGTCATAGTTGTTCTCTCTTCTCTTTCAGCTGAGAACCTGGAAAAAGTCTAATTTCTTATGGGTGGCAAGGATGTTGTAGAAAAGACAATGAGTCAACATTAAAAGAAAATAAAAAAAAAAAATTGGAGGAAAAGTATCAGCTTACGAAGTCTTTGGAAAAATTCTTAAAGAATTCATACACCTATACTTTGTTCTTGGTCAAAGAAGCCACAAAAAAATGCAGTGCTAAATATTTTATAATTACTTACTTTTTTCCCAATTTTAACTGTGATCGTAATTGCACTTAATTTCTTTAATCGTAATCAAATTTAAAGACCCTAACCACATAGCTCTATTAATACATGATGTTTAAGATTTGTTGATTCTTTAGATGTTGATCGTTGTAAAATACCTTGGAAAAAAGAGATCGGCATCAATTGCATTACCAACTGAAGTGCTCAAAAATTTTCTTTGTTTTCTACTCAATGAGCATGTTCAGTGGTTTTCGGTCATTGTCTTTTTGAAAAGTAGAGAGTGTACTAATTTCATGGGAATTCTTTCCTATTTTTACAGACGATATTAGCCCACAAAAATTTAATTCAATGGTGCGTACTTTAAACTCTTATTTAAATATGCATAGCTATAAATTGTGGCCAAAGTAACCCACAATTGGACTGCGTTTAGCAGAAAGGAACCAAGCAACATCCCAAATTTAACTGGGCAATTTACTTTTTATAAGAGAATGTGTGTGCAGATTCCTTTGAAAATGTTGAGATATTGCTTTGTGCTATGCAGAAAATTCACTGGAATTTGCACAAAAATCTGCACAACCGTTTTATGTAAAAAATTAAATTGCCCAAATAAATTTGGCAATAACTGATGTGGCTTGGTTCCTTTCTGCTCAATGCAGTCCAACTGAGATCATGGTTGCAACAAGCTGGATATTTCTGAACGCCATCTTGACTTTTTAGGTAATATTTGTTTGGATGTGAGCTCAAAATATGCAGAATTGTTTTTAGGGGCATAATATCATTGAAATAATGTGGACAAATTCCTTTAAATTAAGTGCACCGTCTGATTAGTAGGACTGTAAGAATAAAAAGTTACTGGGCAAGCTTATTTTGACAATTTCTTTCTCCTCTCAGACACTTGAGACTCCCAAGAATTTTATAAGCTGCAAATAAAATTTGAATACTTGCCTCAGTTCCATCATGGCGTGGGAACTTGTGCGCAGGTGTGAGGTCAAAGTCTATATCGTCCACTTTGTACACAGAGTTATTATATCGAGTTATGACAGAGAAACCAAGAATCTCCTTGGTGAACTGGTCCTTCCAATTTCCTGGAGAATTCTGTATGCAATTTCTCCTGAGAAGAGATTAAACAATGTTGATATATTAGTTATAGAGACTAAATACCACTTGGTTGAAAAGTCTCCCCCATGCACTGGGGCATTTTTTGTTCAATCCGTACAACAAATAGAAATCAAATTTTTTACAGTATGGCAACGCAAACCACGGTAGTTACTTCTTTCCAAAAGTTTCAAAGCTGTAACAATGTACAATCCTTGTAGGAGGGGTACAAGCAGTGTGACAGCCAAGACGTGCTGACATCGTTACTTGACGATGGTGACAGGGCAGGCGTTTGAGAGTATGCTCTTTTAGAGATTTTTTTTTTATTTCTTCCATCCCATTTTTTTTCCCTTCCAAAATTACTTGCAATAAAACTGCTCCAGACTTCTTAAATGATGATGTAATGAGATTGTTCATGCATGCCCGTGGAATTTTTGAGAGGTATTTGATATCATAACAATTTTAGTCTTTCAAAATTTCAACCTGTAGATTTCAAGTTTGAGGGTTTGATGAAAGATTAAAATTCAAAGATTCAATGCTTTTTGATAGATAATCCCATTCCCCCACCTAAAGCACATCCATAGTTGCCTACCTGAATGGTTGTGACTGGTAAAATCTTAACCAACCAAAAGAGAATTTGCAGGAGTCTGAAATTTGATGAATTTCGTTTTTAAGGGGAAACTGCTGAGTGAACTGAACACGAGGATACCCTTGGTTCATGAATTGAACAATTATTGGAGAGGTTACGACAAAATGATCTAATCTGCTAAAATATGTGTGTTTAAATGGGAAATATCGCCGGATGACGTTACTAGGCAGTTCATTTTCCCACTTCTAAATCTATTTTTGTACTATTTACCGTATCAGAAAAAAATTATGAAAAATACTGTGAAATCAGCTCTTTAGGCACTTTCAGATGAAGCAATAAAAAATTTGCACGCAAATTCTCCATTATTCTACAAGAGAAAATACATGGTGTTTCAAGATTATGAGACAATATTTCAGGAACCGATTCTTCAAGTCGTAAGGATTTATGCGTGGTTTCACATTTCTGTCAAAAACGCATTCCCCTGGAGCTACAGCTCTTTACATTCCTAAAAAATAAGTTACTGGATATCCTTCTTTGCTTTATATCTTCCTTCACCATTGCCACATCTAAGAGCCCTGGATTGCATACGAATACTGACAAAATGGGGCTCATTAGCAAAATGGACTTTGCTCCCTCTACTTCAAGATGTCTCAAATAAGAGTATTTCAAGTAATGCTGATTCTTGGCATCAAAGCAGCTACCTGTTAATTCGATGCTTGTGTTTTGCCTTTCCCCTGAAATTTTGGGAGCCACCATGGCCGGAAAACCCAATTCTACAATTTTTGACAAAGTAGATGGGTAATAGACTAACTAACGGCAACCAATGAGAGACCCTATAGTTGGTTCATCATTTTCTCCTTTAGTCCATTTCAACCAACAGGATAGATCCATACCCCCTATGTCAAATTAACTTATAGCATACAGTATACTGCTTCCCTCTGCGTCTTCAGGGTCTGACAATGAGTCCCATTCTTGAATCTCCTTGTTCTCAGGCTGCGCTGTCGACGGGACGCAAATGGTGTGCATTGAGAAAACTCCTACTGCTTTGCAATGGCGAGTTTGAAAAAAATGACGCATTCCATCTGTTTTCTGGGCACCAAGATGGCCTGGCCTCCCTCCTCCGATGGAGGGCAGAACACAGATTGATACAATATTAGATGGTTCCGCAAAGCTCAGCTTAGATCTAGAGTACTAATTGGAGGATGGATTGGAAATTTCAAAATACTTACATAACATCATAAACAGTTGATGTTCTCAGAACTCTATGTGAGACATCAATGTTGAGGTAAAGACCCCCTTCATATTCATCAACAGCTGTTACATATCCCGGCCAAACTTCCATTCTGGAATAGGGGAAAAAGCAGGGATTAAAGAAAGAAAAGGAGATGAAAAAGAGAAAAGATGAGGATAAAAAAAACGTGTACAAAAAATATGCAATAAAAAGTAGAGTTTCCCAGGATATGCATATCATAATTTGTCTAGGAGGAGATACTGCAGCATTTTGTACTGAGATCAGCAGGCTGATTATTGAAACTGATAGACTAAGCTATAGACAGAGAAGACAAAAGGGATATGCAGGGATCCTATTGGTGGAAGTGGGTGGTCGCAATGGACAAAGGAGGTGGGTAATAGACTACTTAACGGCAACCAACGAGAGACCCTATAGTTAGTCCATCATTTTCTCCCTTTGTCCATTTCAACCAACAGGATAGATCCATAAGCTGGCAGGCGCACTAAGTTTCAGGTCAATCAACACTTGAGATTTATTTAAACTCTGGCCAGACTTAGAGATGGGGAATCCAGATACTCAATTTAATCTCTGGCACTTTAGGGCATTGCAGTCATATGGTGTTGACTACGATAGCTGAGCATCTATGAAAAGATTCTAGGGTGTCAGTGGCTCAATCAACTTTGGGAAAATGGGGACATGAAGCAGTCAGTTGTCACAAAGCGCCAAAGAGCATTCTAGGTGAAACATGTATATACAATGATGCAAAAAAATCTTTGCCTTTGCATTTTTTGCTCTTACATTGCTGTTTACATAAGACTCCAAACTTCACTACATATTTCCTTCGCATAAAAGAGCGAGCTTTATTATTTCCTTTGCATGAAAGGGTGCGCTACACAGATTTCTTAAAAAGTAACATGCTTAACAGTTTCCTTCTAAAAAGTGATGTGTCAAATATGGTTTCAACAACAATGAGTAGCACATTCATGCAAAAAATGAGACTAAAATTAAAAAATTACAATCCCAAATGCCTCCTGCCTTTGCATCTTTTCTCCTTTTCAGATGTTTTTACATTTCTTCAGCCCGCTACGACTGGCTGTATGTGTATACTGTAAAAATCCACCGTTTGCATTCTCATTATTTTCCAACCTTGTTTATATATTAAAATACTTGAGCACAACTGTTATGGCGTTTCTGTTACACTTGAGTGCAAAACAAAGCCAGCATGAGAATAGGCTGCTAGGGGCCTCTAGCAAGGAAAAGTGAGGGATCTTGGATAGATAAAATTGGTGAAGCAATTCTGTTGACTAAAAATTGACACTGCAGCGCAAAGAGTTACAAAATTACGATTAAAAAGCGGGCATTAGTGTAATCTAAGTTTATAAAAGGAGTGTTTACTTACTGGTATTTTGGCAAAGGTTTTTTCATGGCAGGACTGAAGTACTTGCGTCCAAATTGGACGAGACCCAATTTGTTGAGTATTTTATTGAAAAGTACATTATAAAAATGTATACATTCTGAAATTCTATGGGTCTTTTTGAACTTAATGGTGCACATCACTTTAGACTCATCGTTAGGATTTGTACATGGAAGAGTGTAAACCTGGAAAACACATAAAATATAGCTGGTCAATAGCACATCTTGAATAGCCTATTTTCACACTTGGTCATAGAGATCCCCCAAATGGCACAATACTACGATTAAGGAAAGAAATAGGAAATATTATCCTATTTCATGAGCGTGGATCTGACTGACCTCTGTCCCAAGGCGACATAAAGAAAACATGAACATAATGTGTTCTACACATAAGGTACTCGCGGTGCCACTAAAAGAAACGCTGTTGTTGCATCCATAAGTTGGCGTTACCTCAAGCTGCTTTCCCTTAGGCTCATGCAAAATTTCCAGGTTATGCTATGAAATATGAATATTTTGCATGTATTTCAATGGGGTAAAAGGCTGATTTTTTAGCACCATGTGACAGCAATGGGATTATGCCATTCAAGCTAAATCAATTTTGCTAACACCGCTTGTTTCACTGGTTGATCTGCATCTGAACCTGTTGATAAACTGCTGTGGAAGCCAATTTGTATATGCAAGGGTCATTTGGAAAGCAAATAACAGGTTTACTTTTCCTGACTAAGATAGATAGAGACAATCCCTTACAGAGCTAAGATAAGCCTTCAATTTCAGCTTCTTAAAACAATACAGAACTTTAAATTAAGCCCAAAGGAACTTTGGAGAAAAGAGGAACATATTTCTTGGTGACATAGCCAGCCCCTCTATAAAAAGAGCTTGTTGCCAAAATGAGATCTTTCCTTCCTCCTCCTAGGACGTTATTTTAACTTACTTGTTTGATAACTCTATCGATACCTTCAAAGCTCAATATCTTTTTCCATTCAAAAGATATTAAGGTTCGATTCGCCCAAAATTGTTTTAGCGATCTGAAAATTGAGTAAAAGATGAGAATCTCACTTTTACAACAAGCTCTTTTTGGCTCCACCACTGTCTTTCCTCTCAATGTTTTCATGCAAAATCTAGGAATACTCTATGCTACTTTTGCAAAAATATCAAAACAACTAGGCCCTAAAAGTTTTGTTTTCTCCAAAGACATTGAATAGAGTAGAGCGTGCACTCCCTATCTCCGCCGTGTCGGCTGAGCGAGGCAACTTCGGCGGGATTCCGTAATGGGCAGGCGGGATGGGAGCTCGCGACTGAGCCCCACGCAGCATGAGCCGGGATTGCGCATACTTGGAAAAATTAGTTGCACGCTCGGATTTTCGCGAATTACTCGTTTCCACTTCATTTTTCGGCAAAATTTATAAGGACCACATGTTAATAGCATAAAATTTACTATCACTCTGAACAATTTTCGTCTCTCTACAGTCATTACTGACTGGAAAAAACGCTTCATAATTGAAAATATGAGGAAAGTGACCTGCGTATCAGACGGATGTTCTTATAATGAGTGCAGCTTGTAAAGATGACGGCGTGGATAAGAAGTAATTTTGTAAAAGGTACAAAAAGGATTTAAAATTAGGTCAATCATATAAATCAAGGGTAAACACGAGGAATAGTGTTATGTATTGTACATAAAAAGGCATATAAAAGTTACGAGAGAGTTACTTAAAGCTATTGTCCATCTTGATCTAAGAGAAAGATTTGATGAAAAGCTGAAAAAGAGGGGCAACGATTTCGGCAGTTTCAAAGTACCGAGATTTAAGATTATTCCACTGAAAAGGATAATGTTCAAGCATTATTATCAAACTAATTTGCGAGTCGCAAGTTTATGTTATTTAATCTGCTCAAAAATTTCAAAATCAATACTTCAGTCACTTGTTTATGACTGGCGATCGTCGATACTGTTTATTTTCAAAAAGTATGGGTAAGTAATTGATCTTAATTCCTTTGCATTTTTAGGCGGCTCTGTGATTAAGTCGCTGCGCTCGAGAAGGGCATGCACTTCTTTTTAATGATGATCCAGAATCTATGTCGCTCACATTTGTTTAGTAGAGTAGTTTCTAATGGTAAATTTCAAGGATTTTTTCACAGAAAATTGCAGAATCATGAAAAATAACTCAGTAGAAATTTCAACGAAATCCATGAATTTCCTTCACTGATGAAATATTAGTAGAGATTTTGAACCACTGCAACCCAGAAGTGCCATTCTTGCACCCAGTGCCTCAATTTTTCTGCACATTGCAGTGCAGTGGATTCTATGAAATGAGTTTTTATCATGTCCTTACTTTCCACTATAAAATTAAAAAAACACAGCACTTATGCTATGTTTTCAGCAAAATGCTTAGGGCATTTACTTAATATTACATTTATCACAAATAAATATCACAAACTGAAACAACACTATTTTGAAATTGAAGACACTAAGTTGACTACAATTTTCAATGAAGAACTGCTATTTCTGGCTCATTTTAGGAAGAACAAAATGTGCCATTAGTTCATGATCCGTTGTTATATCGTGTATTAGTTTCCTGTGTAGATAGGTAATAAAACAAATGAACCAAAAATAGTAGTTCCTTAAGGCTAAATGTAGTCAAAGTTTAAAAATTATCATCGGAACATAATCATTCTTGTCTCTTGCCCGGTTCATCAAGAATTTGCTCATGTAAGCATACCATAAATTGAAAGTTGTGTGGTGTTTAATCATTAAAACTAAAACACATCTTCACACAGAAACATTTAATTATAATTAAAGAACAGATCAGCCGAAAATATTCGCAATAATCAATTAATAATTAAAGATTTCGGAGCCGAACCGTACCGGCCTCGTATAAGCGCACTGTTCGTTTACCGCGAGCTGGGGACGGCTGGGGCTCACTCACCTCACCGGTGCCGCTTCGGCGTCCCGCACTCATCGGTCGGTGCGGCATGCGAATAAAAGAGAAGTGGCCACCGCTCCATTTCACAGCGCACGGTCTACTCTATTCAATGTCTTTGGTTTTCTCACTTTTTCATCACATCCCAAGGAGGAAAATGGAATCTTGCCCCCCTTCTACCAAAAAATAAGTAATATCCAACATTTTAGGTTACAAATACAAGTAATAAATAAACACATTAAAAGATAAAGGTGATTCCATCCATTTTACTAAACTTCAGAAATAAAAAAGAAAGTATTCCAGTTTCAAATCAATAATTAATAAATAAGAAAAAAATGTAGCATCAAGATAATAATTAAAAGCACAACACTTACAGGCTCCTGCAGCTTGATAGGAAGGTACAAGACGGTCCCATCAAAATTTTTGACATTTCCAATTGTTGACTCTAGTTGTCTCAAGAGTTTACTCTTGAGCCCCCTGTGGTCTATTGGTGGATTGTACCGTACTTCATACTCATAAATGCCTTTCTCATCAATAATATCAAGTTTTAAGTAGTTGACAACAGCCTGGATTCTGAAAAATATTCAAAGTTACATGAATAAGGGGGGGAATATTTGCAAGATTTTCACCATTTTCATTAGTTTTGAAGCTTTGTACATCTTAATTTATTCCCTCCTATTTCAGGTAAAGGCACAGAGCATAAAAGGTGCAGAAAACGCCTAATCTTGCAATTTGAGAGTTGCGGCAAGCAAGAGGCAGGTCTTGGGGATGAGGCAAGATCATAACCTTAAACAAGATGTGCAAAACATTAAAGGATTTATAACCTTATTGAAAGGTTACGCTAGAGCCTTGCTGGTCATTTCAGCTGGGATGCAGTTGCCAGGCATGGCAGGCCAACAGTTGCTTCAGCTGTGAATATGCAGGGTTTTTTTTTTTACAGTTACTTGTTACGACTGAACTAAAACATTGAAATTTCAGCTAACCTACTAAGGTTTCAGGGGTAAAATGAAAAAATAAAAAAAAACCCAACTAAAACCTATTTTTGGAAAGGTGAGAGTTGCGCTCAGAGTTGCTTTTTTGTTGAAAGGAAATCCTCCTACTGTCACTGACTTGTATTTCTTTAAGCAGAATGGTGTTGGGTGTTACTGAACTTGAATTATGATGACATTCTAAGCAGAGAGCATAATCGATCATCCTCAGCAAAAGTAAAATGTGGCACAACGGCATTAACCAATATAATTATTTTAAAGATCTATAAGCGAAGTGCAGTGCTAATTCCAAAAGATTAGTTGGTGCTGACGATCCACTGACATAATTGGCGATTCAGTTATATAAGGTTATGTAGTTCCATAATCAATGTTCAGGGTTATTGTCACAAAAATAGCTGTTGATTCTTTTAGGCCTTGTCTCCACGGGACGTTTTCATGGGATTTGTCCCAAGTTCGAATCGCAGGATTGAAACTTCTGGGATTTTTCCCAGTTACCGTCTCCACAGGACGGGGCTCATACAGTCCTGCGACTAGTTTGCGCGGGAAGATAAATTAGTTAAAGTCGAGTATTTAACCGGGATTAAAATGATAATTGCACTCAATTGACAATCAGACACATTATTTTAACTAAACAAACATGAAAAATGTAGTGATGAATAAAATATCGCACAATTTGTTTTCACTTCTTCTTTCCTCAGTAGGTCCTAGGGGTAAAAGTACCATACTTGGTACTGGGAAAAATATTGATTAACTCAATATTTTTCCCAAATTCGTAAGTGGGATTTTTCCCTGGGACAAATCTCGTGAAACGGCTCGTGGAGACAAGGTGTTCATTTATTCACATAAAAGTGCAGGTCAGTGGCATTATTTTGATAATTTAGGTGGAGGGAATATGAGGACGCTCAACTTTCATTGATAGTTGGCCTCCTGTGGTGTAGTGGTTGTAGCGCTGGCTCTATAACTAGGAGGAGGTCCTGGGTTTGATTTCCGGCTAGGTGGCTCGAGTTTGATGGTCTCAGACAATAGTTGCCTTGTGCTGGTTATACAGTAGGGACTGAAAGGGGCAGAGCTCCAACTGAAAGCGCAGGATTACCACTTGTGTAGTATTTGAAGTAGTATAAAAAAAGTCCTCAAAAGCAATGAGTTGGTCGCACTCATTGAGGAATTATACTTGCCATTCAAGGGGTTTAATACTCCTCAATATCTTATCTCAAATAATTTCACATTTTTTAAATACTAACATTATTTCATCAAAACTTTACAACCACTGTGCACCCAGAGAAAGATAGAATAAGGATTGGCTTGCTCAGGAGAAAAATCTCTTTTTGAACATCAGAATATGAAATTTCTAGCAAGTGGATTAAGTACACAAATGTGCATTTCTCCTTACTGTTGTTCAGATATTAATTTCAGGAATACTTACGTCGTTCCTTCACTGCCCTTATAAAAAACAGGTTCAGCTGAACTAGGAGAAGACCTACTGGAGGAAGTGATGGCAGTTTCAGCCAGGGCACTAGTAACAGCAGTTATTTCTGAAATTGTTCCGCTTTTCAAAGATCTGAAAAGGAGAAAGCAAATTGAAGAAATGTACTTTTGAACAGTCTCACAATTTCTATCAAGATAGAGGATGCAACTTTTGATCAGGGGGGCAGAATGATCATGATCGCGCGGCCGCTCATGTGAGAGTTAGGGAAGGCTGTAAATATTTGTAAAAATCGGGGAAGACCCCCCCCCCCCTGTTTTTGGGGGAAAGACAGGGAAGCACATTGTTATTAGTGCTAGATGCCTTGGAAGCGTGCTGCTTTTAGGGAAGGAAACTATTAAGAAAGTTTTTCTTAATTGCTGGAAGTTTTTCGAGTGCCCTGCTTGTGGGGAAAGATCCTTTTAAGGCCGCTGCTTTTAGGGAAGGAAACTTTTAAGCGCGATGCTTATGGGGAATGAAGCTGTTAAGTGGGTTTTTTTTTATGTAGAGGCAAAATTATAGCAAAACTGCATATTTGGGGAAGGAAAATTATAAATAAGGGAATGCTAAGAACTTTCTACACCCCTGCTTTTGAGACTCATGTCTAACTCTGACAGTATTTTGCCTTGTGACAGGGGGATGCAGAAAGTTACAAGCGTTCCCCTGTTTCTAACCAAAGTTCAAAATCGGTTCCCCATGAAGACACAAATAAAAGCTTTTCCACCAAGAAATTGAACTTTTCACGAAAATATGAAAGTTTGGAAGATGCAGCACTCCAAGCGAGTTGATGGCTTCTGTTGAGTTAATAACTTTTAACAGCTTTTTACACAACACAATGTGTGCACATAATTGTGATGGGGTTTGCTTTTTGACAGAATTCCATCACAGAAATTAAGTATTGAAAATATCAAAGGAAATCGCTTTCAATACAGGATGAAAAAACAATAATATTCATATTTAGGGGTCGAAATTACAAAAGAGATGAAGCCAAATAGAACTTTTGATTTGGAGGCAAAAATACTTACGAGGGATCTGATACAACAGAAGATGTATCAATTTGAGACAGTAATGCTCCTCTTCCAACATTCTGAAGTATAGCTCCACGGCCTATAGGTGCAGTTGGCAGGTTTTCTTGTAATGCTCGCGATGCTGCTCCACGCCCAATTGGCCTTAATTGTTCTTCACTTGAATCGGGTAAGACCATGCCCCTGCCTGACCTCCCAATTGGGGCCGCGTCTTGCGACTGAACGTGGGCAAATATTGCAGCACCTCTGCCGCCGCTTCTGATAGGTTGGGGCTCCTACAAAAAAAAAGTCGTACAATTAATTATCCAATACATATAAGAGTGGACAAAAGACAGAGCATTAACCGGCAAGACAAAGGCACATGTCACCATGAGCTATGAAAAAAAAGAAAATGACACACGGCAGTATACAAAATACTGTTTGCTTGATTTGATGAAACAAATTAATGAACATGATAAAAACCAGAGTGGGTTGTTGAGGTTATTTACACCTGTACTTGCACAAACGTATTGGGCTCTAATATTGACACTGAGAAAAACGTTATCCAAAATCGTGACTTGAGATCAAATTAAATTATATGGAGGCCTGTTATTCAGCAGAAAGGAAGGTGCCGTAAACGAATCTTACAGCAAAGTGCAACCATGCTTTTGCAAGTTTTGATGTGGGTGAGAACTTACCCTCTAAAAGAAGTGGTCTTCATCGGCAAAAGTAGCGATAGTTGAACTTACCGAGAGCAGGGAAGGAAGAGGAGAGGGAAGGGGAGGTGTCCTTCGGCATTGCAAAAAGTAGGAAAAAATTGAGTCATACCTCTGGTTACTACAAGGAGACCTGTTAAGATATTTTTAAGCACTCCGTGTTGCACGCCTCAACTTCCAGTGCCTAGTAAACAACTTACCTAAAATCCTGTTTTTCTCCCTTCTTACTTTCATTATATGGAAGAGCATGCAAGTGATCGGGAACAATTTGGTGCTTACTATTAACTTCCATGCTCTTGAACAACTCAAATCCACTTAGTGCAGAGATCATTGAATGAAAAATTGCGCTATTTAGGTAAAATTCCTCCAAGCACATTTATAGCCTGCTTCAAGTTTTTCCGGAATTTGAGGATTTTTTGTCAACGTCATCACAATGTAGAGCAAAGTTTATTATGGGGCAAAATTTTTGGCAAAGAGTGCTTGGCGGTTAAGACATCGACCAAAATTAGGGTTTTCAGTACTTCCGGCAATCTGTGTATTTTTATATCATTTTTTAGTACTAAAATGAAAAAAAAAAAACAGGATTCCTGAAGCCCTTCAGGTAGTCAAATCTGCAAACTTTGACCTCCTAATACTGGGAGTGTGCGGAGTCAAATATTCTCAATTTAGTTAGATTTTTTTCCAAGTCCCCATGATGTCGATTTAAGAATATTTCTACAAAATTAAATTTCTGATACTTTATTAGTTCTCACAAATCTAGAACACCGTTCATTAGATACTCCTGTAGCCAACTGAGAATGCAATTTCCCAAAAAAAATTTCCATCCAGAGGGGATATCTTTAGATGATAAGGGGCATTCTTTCCAATTTGTATACCCCCCTCTCCTTGTAAGGCAAGCCTGGACCCTCATAAATAACTACTTACGATTGCCTAATATCAAGAAAAATTGGAGAGCTGACCAAGAGAAAAATAACTACCATATCCGTAGTCAGTGTGATACCAAGGAGGCAAAGCCACTTGGATTGCATGACTCGTGGATCTCATTTGGAATGAATTGAGTGAAATATTCCAAGAACGTTGTTCTTCTCATAGGAAGGCAATGAGAACCTAGAAAATTCAGTTCTCAAATCTGAAGTCAAAGTATTTCTCTCACCAAAATTTAAAATACCTTATGCAAAAACATAATACTTACATCCTCCCCTGGCCTTCTTGCTGCCTCAGCTTGGAGAAGGCTTTCCAAGGCAGCACCGCGTCCACCTCTACCAGTCATTTTTGGTCAGCTCTGAAACAGATGACAAATTTATTGGAATAACTTATTGACACCATGAATTATCAATTTACAGTTTATTGGTTCAAAAATGAAGGATTACATAAACAAACAAGAATGACTGCTTGGCGCATCAAAAGAATAACTTTAGCAGTCTGTGTTGCAAAATTTTCTTCCTTTAAAAGGAAAAAGAAAAAAAAGTAGTGTAAAAACAGACAAAAATTTAAACAGAACAGCCTGACGGTAACTGAAAAAATACGATAATTTTACAAACAAAAACTAGGCTCAATATAAAAAACTTTTTGGGCAACAGACTTTCCAAAGAATAGGAAAGAGATTAGGTGATGAAATATAATTGATTGAAATAATTAACTAAAATTAAAGAATACTGTCCATTCCTCCGGGCTTAAATTATGGAAGAGCTTAAACACTGTGAATCCCAAATTGTTTCTTACTGTTTTGAACCTGCCCAGGGCTAATGTAAGGAGCCCCAAACCACCCCCTCTGAAGTATAAGTTTTTCTTATCACGCTTTCTGTGAGAAATAATGGGAATAACTGAATAAGACCTAGATCGTACAGCTTGCAAGAAGACTGGAAACCAAGAAGACCACAGACCTCCTCAGAGAGATACCTCGTTATTGACCTCAGAATAAACTCAATGGCCTGCCTGTGCAGGCGCACTAAAGGATCTATGACGGTGGCCTCGACTCCTGTGCTCCTAGGGAACTGATGTTACCTGCTATATCAATATTCAAGGCCCCTATGCCCATGCACCTAAACATGCATTTGCAATGAAAACAGATGACAGCTGAGAATTTTAAATAGGATAGCTGCAAAAATGTAGTGCAAACATCTCGCCACCAACTCCTGAACACGATACTTACCTCGTGCCTAAATCCTGTTGTAAATTGCACAGATTGTGTAATTATGTCTGTACCTAATGATTCTTAAAATTAAGGTACTGAGGTCTTCATTGTTCTCTTCACTTTGTAGCAAAGACATTAGGATGGAGCCCTCGTATCTACTAACACAGGGGGGAAGTGATGCAGCCCTAGCGCTCAGCGTTTGTATGAGTGTGTAAATAGGCGCGGGAGCCCTTGGCGGCAATAGGAAATTTGATTTGAGCTTGTACTCTTGATTTATGCACAATTCTTCCTCTAAACTTGATTTAAATGCTATAGGTGAACAAATGACTTTTTAAAATAAACCTACTTTTGCTCGGTAACAAGCAAGGATCTCAGATAGAGGTGTCGTCAGCTAAGTTGACGGTTGTTTACTTTCGGTTTGCAAGCGCCAACGACGAATTTGGGCCTCTGAACAAAGCGGCGTTTGCTACTATCCACATTGAAAACATCAGTCTCCTGAGAGAGCCAGATGTTTTCATGTGGATAGTAGTGATGCAAAAACGCCTGCAAACCGAAAGTAAACAACCGTCAACTTAGCTGACGACACCTCCAGAGGAAGTTTTTCTTTTGCTCATGGTGGTCCTGCCAGTTCAAACTGGCCGTTACAGTCTTAAATGACCGTTACTCCCAAATGAGATTAATCAGTCGATGACAGACCAAAAATAACCTACAGCTAACTAAATATATGTGGGTTCCTGAATTGGAGTAAAAATCGACTTGGAATACTTTGTTTACGCAGTTTTATTCAGTTCCCGCCCCATATTGGAGTTTCAAACTGGTCCCAATTTCGCGGATAATCCTCTGGCCATTAGGAGAGTTTGAATGAAATTGCATCATTTCTTACTTGTGGCGCTCTGTCTTCATGTCTTTGCTTTGTAGTCAAACCTGGAGGGGGTTTCTAACCTAAAGAATGCAACGTATTGCCCCAGTACTTGTCAAGCGCAGTCTAAAATTACAGCATGGCAGAGCCTTGAAGGCTAATCCCCGATAACGTAGATATTTACTGTGAGACTTGTTTACTACATTTAGACCTATGAGCTGCAGGTAAAGGTCCACGAATGAACTTGGGGCTGCAACCTAAAAGCACATACGCTTCGGCATCATTTTGTGCATTTGTACTCCATCATCATAATGCTCACATAATGACTGTTACAATAAATCCTGGGAGACAGAAAACTTGTAATGATAGAATCGCTTCATTCTGGACTGCAAACTTTCCAGGTCTTCAGATTTTTTGGTAGCAGAAGAGAGTTGAAGATTGCTCGAAGAGCTTTGCTGCGCGAACATGCACTAGCGTATTTCTCCGACCACGAGAGAATGGGTAAGATGTAAAATAAAACATTAATACTCACCAAATGCTACCAAAAATTGAACATGGACATATCTCAATGCAAATTAATAACAGAGAGACTACAGATTTATTGGAAACAAAACAAATTCACAAGGCTTCATAAAAGATTCTTGGGAATGCAGATTTTTACGACGTAGACGTAGCGAAGCGGAAGCGCAGGTAGAAGCAAACGCAGACGACACATCACCCATTTCGGCGCCATGTTGATGACGTACTACTGGGACCTCGAGTAGCGCGAAGTTTGAATTGACGCGTCTGGTGCGGGTTGCGTGCAAGCAGGCTGATGCTAATAGTAACAATTTCTTACGCACACATTGTTTATTGTAACAGAATATGAAAATGTATGTTAATTGAACACATTTGAAACATTTTTCCGGATGTGTTCTATTATTATCACGATATTTTAAATTGCCTCTTTTTTCCGAAGCCCAAATATTTTCGGGGGGTCGTGGTCCCCATAATTTTAGGTCAACAGGAATCAAGTGGCACATCAATAAACATTTATTGATTTCTTCTCTTACGAGACTTTTAGATTTTGAAAATCGAATAATTTTGACGCCTACTGTCTCTATCGAAATTTGTCCATAAAATGCCTCGTAACTTCAAAAAGAGGAGATTTAGGGGAAAAGTGCATAGAGCAAAATGTATTGTTTTTGGCCATAAACGTTGAACCCGAAGTCAAGACCTACGTTTCTAAAATATGCGAGTAACAGGGGGTAACCACCTTAAAATCTCCCCTAAATGGCGTTTCGGGGGGCTGAGAATATTTTCATTGAATTCAGTGGCGTCAATTTACTCCTGGGACTTTCCATTCCGATGCTCAATTCTCGGCCGTTCTGTAACAACCTTATGAACCCACTCAAAAATATGAGCCACTAGTCACTGGTCTACTGGCCTGATGCGGCGATGGGCTATTGACGAACAAGGTACATAATGACCAGGAACCAATTTTGGGGCAAACGGATTATAAAGGGAACGGAACAAGAACGAAACGTCAAAGGAAGAGGTGTATATTATTGCCAATTTGCCACAACATTAGCGCAGCAACGGTGCATCGGAGAAATCAAGAACTAAAAAAATACAGAGTGACTTGATAGAATGTGCATCAGGGTAGCAAAATTTCATGTTTAAAATCATGGGATTTCTTAAGTACATATAGGGAACTTTATTGAGAGTTAGATACCAAATATCAAGGCTTCTTGCATTTTGGTGCGGGTCCAAACTTATGAGCTTCTGAAAAATACATTTCAAAAATGTCATAAATTTCGTCTCTTTCACAGACCCTAAAATTGCCGGAAATATTTTATGGAAATTTCCTATGTTCCATATCCTTCAATGCGTTTCACGGGTATGTGGGGGTGTGGGGCGCGCCGCACAAAGGTGGCGCAAGTATCAAATGACGGTCCTCTAACACGGTATATAAATTTTTCAGCCTGGAATTTTTCATCCATTCCTCATTTTTTTATGAGATACTGCTTGACTTTTTCTCGCGAAATTTTTTTTTAGAAAATATCGTCAAAATTCGAGGAGATTTTTTGAGCAAAACCAATAAGGCTTCATTTAATAGTGAGATGTGGCATTTATGTGTGTTTTTTTTTTTATTATTTGAAGTCACTCCGAAAACTTCCTGGAATCTCTTCAGAAAAACTCTTGAAAGTTTCTTAAGAAACACTCAAACAAAAAAAATGTGACAAAGGTTGCTTTCGGAGGTAGGTAAATACGATTTTTTCGCCAACAAGGCATCGGTATTTGTATTCATTCGTGGCAGGCGTCGATATTTGAATTCATTTATGGCAGGCGAAACGAGATAACGCTTCGGCCAAGTGTTGAGGCATATTGCCGCTTGCCGGATTGAAGGCGCATCACGCTGAGAAGATGACTTGACAACTGTTTCTATCCCTAGCTGGCGCGACACTAAAATCACCGTAAAATGAGGACGAATCGTCCTTATTTTTGGTTCTTTGCTACGTTTTTAGCATGGTTTAAACAAAATTATGTAACCTCGTTGCAACGACTCAGAAGCTTGAACCGCGTTAAATTGTTTTCTGGCTCTCAAAAAAAAAAAAATAATATAGCGTACGAAAATACCGCACCCAAATATTCTGTGATTCCCTCTGAAATGATTCCGGAAACTTCTGCGGGAGATAAATACGCTCTTCTTTTTCGCGCGCAGAGGTCGCGGTCGCTATCTTCATTCACGGCAGGCGTGACGAGATAACTATTCGACCACGGGTGTAGACATATTGCCGCTTGCCGGATTGAAGGCGCATCACACTGCGATGATGACTGCGTTCCTTTCCCTAGCTGGCGCGACACTATAATCACCGTAAAATAGGGACGACGCGTCATAATTCTTCACTCTTTGCCCCGTTTTACCATAATTTAAGTAAAAATAAGTATCTTGATCAATTTTGGAAAATTAACAACCACCGCGTTTAATTTTATTCTAGCTTCAATAAAAAAAAATAAGTAAAAGTAAATAAATAAATGTAACGAACAGAAGTATTTCGTTGATATTGTCTGTGATTTCCTTTGAAATCATTCTGTAAAATAACCGGAAAAATTGAAGAAAATGTATTAGTGGTATGAAACAAAAAATACTGATGAAAAATAAAACATGAGAAGTGGTGAGCAACGTTGCAATCTGTTGGTTCAAAGAAGTCTCCATCTCCGAAAGCTAAGACTCCTGGACAAAATAAAGCCCCTGCATCCTCGAATACTTTCGGACTTTTTCCTGCCGTGCCATTTACACGAGTAA